TGTGTCTTCGAGAAAAGGAAGACCATGAAAATACGAAAAAACTATATTTTTGGATTATTTTTATTTGATTTAGTTTTCGAGAAAATTACAGTGCAAGTACTTTTCGAACAACTCAATAGTTTATTAATTAAATAACTACAATAAAAATTAATGTTAATTATTATTGTTGTTAATGATAATTGTCTGTTAATTGTTAATGTCCGTACCAAGGTCATTCATTAATATAAATATTATTTAGAAATGTATAATACAATGTTACATAGTCTATAATTATAGTTTATGTATAATAAAAATAAAACATATTTATAAATAAATTATGAAATGATATATAAAAAGTATATATTTATATTAAATAACACTTTATTTGTATAGGTAAAATAAATTTAATTGAAATGAATACAGTATATATAAAACAAATATTACCAGATAATTTATGTATTAAATTAGCCGTGAGCAAATTATACCAAACAGGTCTATGTCTACAACCATACTTAACACCGGTACCCAACCGGCACTGGTACTCGCAACCAATATTAATATCATTAGGTTTATGGGTGTGCTTACTAATCCACATAATGCTAGCTATAAATAATGGCAAATACATGTCCCTGGTCATAATATTTGGTGATTTTTCTCATTGGATGGGTTATGGACTATACTACAGACCCGGAGTAATAATACTATTTTCATACCTAATCGCCAATCAATTCATATATTACTACAGCTATTGGACAGGTATTGCGCCCACATTTCTACGTGTATTCGCGATGATGTCGGGTATAACTACCCCTGAGATGGTGGGGCTCACGGACCCCCATATGGTGTATAAATTGCTGAGAATATCGAGGATTTTATTTACTGTCAACCGATTCATACATCAAAGGACTGCACCGTTTGTGGGCCTTATTGTAGTGATAACTGTAGCTATATATCAGCCGACCCTCCCGGCCCTGTTATACAGTATACCCAATACAGTGTTAACGTGTTTTACTAGTTATCACACGTTTGGCATAATTTTGTGGCAATTGAATTATTTCTACCTGATGAGTTATTATTTGAGACTCAAATTTAGTATATATTCAAAGAATATTCTCGATATTCATAAATATAATCAAGGTGTTGTGGTTAGAGTTAGGGAACTAAACAATATATTTCTAGAGATTAGTGAATATAATGATAGGTTTTGGTGTAAATATTTATTTTGTGTCTGGGTGGGTTTCGGTTGTGTAATAGTATTGGGCATATTTATGATACTATTCCTGGAAATGGTGTTTTTTGTACGGTTTATATTCATATACTTTGTGTGTATAATGAGTGCTATATTTTTGATAATCATATTCACGGCCTCTGCGGTCAATACAACGGCTAATAATTTTCACAAAACTTTTAATACATTATTTGTTAAGAAATATTCTGTTTTGTAATTAAAAGTTTATTTTATTTTTTTAAATGTCGATAGATTTTATGAAATTTAAATTTAATACATTTGTAACGTAATATTTAAATTAAGATGTTAATTTTTGATTTAAGATGTAAATTGTTAATTGCTTACCATGAATGTTAATTTTGTCTATTAACACTTGTATTGTGATACAATTGACTTATAGATAACCATTATTAGGTTAACACATTTATAACTTTATGTTATGTAATTCATACAGTATTTTGTAATAAGCAATTCATATATTTACTGATATGTAAACTAAATTGATTCTCAAAATGGCCAAAAAGTAGCCTATAATCAATATAACATAGTATTTACTACAAACAACTTCACTGTAAAGGATTCATATTTACAGTATTTATATATTTAAAAATTATTTACTGCTACAGTGTTGCATACATTAAGGCGATATAATTCATACTGTAAGCATAAAAATATAGGCAACTTTTTGGCCATTTTGAGAATCAATTTAGTTTACCTACTCATTCAATTACTCCTAATATTTAGATCTTCGAGAGCCAATGTGTACAAAAAGTGTTAACTAATGTTGAAATAATTTCATTAATTAATGCATGACTCACAATACTAGTTTTAATTTTCTTTATCACCACGCGTTGAAACTGTAATTAAATAATAATAACATACGAATTTATAAATTATCAAAAATATTTATTATCTTTGCTATTACATTAAAATAATAAAATTTTTATCTAACTTAACAATTAAATTTTTTAATTATATATTTATTGAACTTTTTATTTTTGGCTTAACCGCGGTTTACCATGAACAGAATATGGTGTGTTACAGCCATGCTACTAGTTAGCAATCACCATACAATAATTCTGGCATGAACCCTTGCAACATAGCAGTTTTGGATTATTAGGGCACCAGTACTCGATAACTGTACACTCGTCATTGACGACCCCCGGACAATTTGTCCCTGGCATAATTACCGGGCATCTGTAAGTTGGTGTTGTGGCTGTAATAAGTATTAAATGTTAACACAAACCACATAATTATTTACACGTCATATAGGAAATTAACATGTTTACCATTGCCTGTGGGTAACTGTGACTGATCTGTTTTAATGTATGTTTTAAAATGTTAAATAAGTTAAATAACAACATAAGTAAATTTAAATAATTATAATAACTCTCTCTCTCTCTCCCTCCCTCCCTATCTTTGAGGTCATTGACCTTACCAACGGATTAAAGGGGCTTTGGTGGAGGAATAAGACCCTTACTGTTTATTTACTTTGACGGACCTGGTAATTTTGTTTGATAATTTTTAATAAGTTAAATGACGGGCATTTATAACATTTTAAATAAATTACTTGTAACATTTGATGCACACATATAAGTGTCAAGTGGTCCTCCTTTGAAATACTTCCAGCTTTTAATGATGTCATAAAAGGCCTGACCGGGAGATGAAGTGCACGTCTGATCCCTGTGTCCGTGCAGTTGGTAGAGCCCGGACACCACACCCTTCTCTACGGCACACTCGACCCACTTCTGGGCCAAGTCTAACATCTTTTTAGGCGGCGCCACCGACTCGTAGTTACCCATCAGTGCTAAGTTCACTGACTTGTCGTTCATGCCTAGAGTGTGCGCCCGCACTGTATACCAACCCCTGGCCTCGTATATGCGACCGTCACCACCCATCAGAAAGTTATAGCCGATGTCACTCCAGTTCCGGTTATCCATATGAAAGTCCTGCATACTTCGCACGGCCGCCACATACGCCGCCTGGTTGTGGCACTGGTCGGGGGTCACCGTGTGGTGTATGAACACGTGGCTCACGGGTGTCGGCAGTCTCTGTGGCGGATCATTCGCTTTACGACTCCGGGCCTTCCATTGGTTCCGCGACATGAATGTCAGTCCATCGCAGGCTGTCAGCGAATGAACTACATATATATCAACAATAAATTAAATCAAAAGTTACGCTCTCTTATTCTCTCTCTCTCT